CTCGCCTATATATTATATATATATATATATATATATATATATATATATATATATATATATATATATATATATATATATATATATATATATAAAATAATGTGATGTAATTTAGCATCATTCCTGATGATGGCTAAAGCTAGAACGATTAAAATGTGTCGGAGTTACCGTTGTTTTATAATTTGCATGATTAGGTAGAACTTACACATTTTGAAAAACGACCCCGAAACATACATCTTCCACTTTCTCCAATAACCCCTTAGTCTCCGTGAAATCTTAGTCCATATAGCTCCCTATCAGAAGTTTCGTTGACACACAATGACACGTTTCCTTGCCGAGTTGTGAAATGCAGAAGCTGTGATTTTATATATGCTGCCACCACCATTTAGGCACCAAAATCTCAATGCGAAGCCAAGCTGGTTCCTATTTACTGCATGCATCTCATACAGTGGACGTGGTATGCATTATACAGGACAAATAGGAATACCTTTGAGGCCAAAATTTGGTGTGTATCGCCATGCAGTCATTGGTAACGATGATCAACCTGTTACCAGGCATTTTAATACTCGCAATCACAGTGTTTCAGATATGGAGATGTGATCCATCCCTTCGATATCGGGAACCAACGATAGCCGCAAAAGACATTATATATGCACCTCATTTCCAAACTTGGAATGTCCAGCCGATTGCATTAATGGACGTTTTTCCATGGACGTCTTTGTCTGACAAAAGCTGATCTTGAAAGAACGTTTAATTCTTGCATTATGCCACACTTGTTTCATATATATTGTTGTATCTGCTGAAGTTTTGTGTATATTTGCAAACCTATTCACCACCCCCAACCCCCAACCTCCCCCCCCCCGTTTATTTTTTGTTACATAATCCCTCTTACATTTTGATATAAAAGCTTGTGCTTTTTCCGACGTCTCACTAGTAGCCCGAGACGTAGGACCTTCGAAATTCGCAAAAGTTTCACATGTGTTCACTAAAACACAATCCTTGTCGGGAGTTGCAGTTCTGATGTATCGTGATCAAATAATTTGGTTTTTGATTGTGGTGATTGGGTTATGTGATAGCCTTGAACTCAATATCTCGGGATGTGCTGAAGGCTGTAAAGATCAGGTAGTTACTATTTCATTTAGTTGTCTTATAAATATCTCATGGTGAAAGTACGATGAACGCGTGCGATATGTGATGATAATTACTCAGTTCCGCTCTAAGGTTTAGACCTGTAACTAGTGACCTACGATAATTACCCTAATTACAAAGACGTAATGCTGCCTGATATACACAAATGTCGTTCTTTATACACACGCACGTATCGAACGTGCGTATCATTTACACACGTAGCTACGTATCAAACTTATTATAAGGATGCAAGCGTAAGCGAGAAAATAATGGATGGTCCTCTCCTGAAAACAAAGCAAACGATAATTTTCGTCGTTTTAGTTTCATTCAATGAAGGTCTCCGATTTTGCTTAAAATCAAACGTACGCCGTCACTTCGTCATGCTTGACTCTATTGCCAAACCTTTGCTCACTTCCGAAGTAAACTAGTTGCATAATGTTGCCACATCCAGACATGCCAAATTGTTGTGAATAAACCGATAGTCGCATTTACAGTACAATGCATCTCAGCGCGTATTCACCCCTCATCTTCAAAACCAAAAGCAGCGTTGAAATTCTCATGAAATAACGTTTTGAACGGGGAGTCGAATGCCGTCAAAATATTGCACAAACCAAAACAATCGTACATTTACTCACCCTTAGTCAAACCACAGTTAATAGAAGGAATCTCCTTCTATTAACTGTGGTCAAACATTATCGATCTCATTACGAGAAACAAACTTAAATGTCTTCTAAAGCTTCAGTTATTCTCTGAAAGGCCATATGAGTAAAAATATTCCTTGCATTCAAGCGTTTTGATGTAGAAAGTATCGTTTGAATACGGCGAGTAGAAATATTTATTTTAAAATTTTCAAAATATCTGTTTTTCTCGCACGCCTATGCCATACGCTATACTACGCAGCCTGACTACGTCAAAATCACGCGTATTGGTGCACTTTGACATTTAGAATCGAATCAATCGATGTCTGGCATTCCCAGAGTCTTAGAATACCAAGGTCGCATTGTGTTGACGTTTTAAATTGCCTTTCGGTTTGGGATTAGCTCACAGCCGAATATGAAATGGACGGAAATATACCGTGATAAAAGATGCAAATTTGAAGATACGAACTCGAAAATCTTACTCCATATAGTGCTTTTGATAATGATTCGAACAAAGCCAATTCAAAGAAGATAAGTTCTGTTCAGCGAATGGTATGGCTAGTTGATATATTTATCAGACAATTGCGTAATTTCATAGTGTACGATCTCGCTTGACTTTCAAAGGCCACAAATCGCTGCAATGTCCTAAATCTATTGTGAGGAATTAGTTGATAAATCGATGCTTGTGATGTTGCTCTGAGAGCAAATCCACACCTTGCAGGCTTGAAAAACATGCCTGACATGGCCACGGTGGGAATCGAACCTACGACCTTTGGAAAACTAGCCCAAAGCTCTGTCAACTGAGCTGCGTGGTCAGGTCGGTTCGAGTATGTGATGCAGTTCCTTCGATATCGCTGTACTCTTGTAATCATGTAATCAGTTTTTCAAGCCTGCCAGGTATGGATATACACTCAGAGTAACATCACAAGCATCATATTCACCTGAGAACATTACACCAACACAGAGAAAATTCATAGTTGATATTGTTCCACTGAATCGAATGATAATATTACTGTCTTCATTACATGCACTGAACCGAAGATATGAAAATACAAAGTCGTCAATCATTTCATGATGATACTTGCGACTTGTCGAGTAACTCCTAAGTGTTTGCATGCATTATTCTCACGAGTGTTTAATTGCATGCGTCTAGCTTGTTTTCGTTATGAAAATGTATACGATGTACTGTAATCGATCAACCTCCGTATGAGGATGAGGGAGAGACGAGAAAGCCCTGTTCTGGGCCAGTCACGTGATATGGATATATTTGACAGCTATACCCGTCAAGGAGTGGCGAGATATTCATAATTTAATTAACAGAAAATTATAAACAAGTCGGCTTCGAAACAAATAAACAGCCAAAACACTTTTCAATCGATCGATATTATTTATGTGTAGCGAGGTTTGGCATGAACCATTTCTGGAGATTTTCACCCACAGTAACAGGCAAAGGCAAAGGCACAACTGTATATCAACATGATTTCCAAGCAGCATTTAGGCGTCTCCAAGTGGTAATTCACACGAAATTTGCTTTCTCTTGTCTTGAACAATATGGCTATTGCCCTTAATATTTAGTTTAAATATGCTCTTAGATCTGACTTTATTTAAATAAACCCAAATATAAAACATCGCGTAACCTGTTCACGCTATACAGAAATATGCGGATTCGCTTGTTTCGCCGGACACTTGCCAAGCAATGGTTGCCTACAAATGTTATACCCTTCACAATCTTAGTTTTATTTTATCATATAGTCGCAATTTTCAAGCGTTCGGGGTATTCTGAAACTGTAAAACTCTTTGTCGTGACAAGCGAATCTTGTACAGACTATACATCGGCTTAGGCCGTAGAGCTATTAAGTAAACAGGGCCTAAATTTGTAGTTTCGTTTAATTGTTCATCTTGCTTTTATTGCTGACGCAGCGAGCGAGCCTGAATCGAGCGAGTAAGTCAGCAGTTCTAATTCATATTGAGCTCTGAGAGTAGGATTTTACTTCCATTTCTCCGACCAGAATGCACTGCTGTTAACCGACCAGAATGCATTGTTGTTAACAGACCAGAATGTTTTGCATGCATGATGCTATAAATACGGGGAATCTCATTGGTCAGTTTATACTAGTACACTGTTATTTTCGGGGTGTTATTTTAAAATTAACAAAACTTTGAAGGGATTCTAGAGGGGTAATACGGGAGTTGAAAATTTGAGCTCTTTTAACTCCATAACTGGAATTAAAATAATACCCTTTGAGGGGTTACAGGCATTCGCAAGCTAATCAGTATTCAAAAGTAACACGTAAGGGGGGGTTAGTGAATCTAACTCAGTTTGAGGGGTTACTGGTGTCAAGAGCAAGTGTCAGTGTGTCACATGATTTAATACATATATATGGCGTTCAAGTTGATATTTTATCGAACAGATCTGTGAATTTTCCTGTTATATATAAGGAATGAATGCTTTAAGAATCAAATTATGGATGAAGAACATTTCGAAGGTTAGTTTATCTACCGGTTGTTTGTAGCCCATTTAGCTTAAACGGCGGATAAGTAAAATTTTCATTCGTTTTGTGAATAACTGAATACAAGTTTTAAACCTTAAATATGTTGTTGTATACATAAGTGTTCTTTTCAGATTGAAAAAATATTTTGATTGTTCCAATGAATACACAGACTTGCTTGATATTCTGGACTTATCCACCGTTTAGGCTAAACGCGCTACGAACAACCGGCCCCTGGGGTCGGTTGTTTAATAGGTTGCATCAAAGGCATTTAGCTTAAACGGTGGATAGGCAAAACAATTATAATACATTCCCATTCATCTTGTAAATAATTAAATTTCATAAACTAAATGTGCAGTTCTATGCATAGTTGTTATGTTTAGACAGAAAATATTAGTTTGATTGTAGGAGGGTCTTAATGGGGGTCTTTGGGTGTCAGTTGTCAGCTAAAATTTAAGCCAGTTGTCAGTTGTCAGTGCGATATATTGCAAGCTGTCAGTAGTCAGTTACAGCAAAATGCTGACTTATAATTTTTTTCATCATTTCTCAGTAGTCAGTTAGGATATTTTGTCAGTTGTCAGTCAAAAATTCAGGCAAATGTCAGTAGTCAGATAACCCCATTCAGACCCTCTTGTAGTCAATAGTTCATAAATTTGTTTGATATTTTTTTACTTATCCACTGTTCAGGCTAAACACCTTTGATACAACCGGCCCCAGAAGAGTAGTTTACAACTTAATTTTTGCCTTGCATGTTCAGTTCGAATTGGCCCAATTGGTTGATCATATGGCTGATTTGAAATTCAGATTCTTTTTATGATCATACCATACACACCTTGACAGGCGTCTGTATTTGCAGAGGTATTCCAAGCTTATTAAAAAACTCAAGTATATATACTCTCAATATTTATTATTTCAACTGGGATTGCCACTCCCCACGGGCACGGCATTTAGAATTAATATATTAACGCATTGAGTCGCATTGCAACCTGATGCACCCTAATTTAGTATTTTACTCTGTCTAACGCCAGACGATTTTACTCGTCAAGGGCAGAGCGCTGGCATTTAATGGGTTAATTATATTACTATACGAAAAATCATGAAATGTCTTTACAATTTTGATATTAATACAGTACGACTAAATATTTATAAAATATATGTACATATATCTTAACCCATTAAGCGCCAGCGCTCTCTCCTTGACGAGTAAAATCGTCTGGCGTTAGACAGAGTAAAATACTCCGGCGTTAGACAGAGTAAAATACTAAAGTAGGGTGTATCAGGGTGCAATGCGACACAATGGGTTAACTAGACACACGGGCATATAGGCCTGTTAACCCATTAAGTACCAGTGCTCTCCCCATAACGAGTAAATCGGCTGGTGTTAGACAGAGTAAAATACTAAAGTAGGGTGCATCAGGGTGCAATGCAACTCAATGGGTTAATGAACAATTCAGTAAGTGAACAGGCAATTCCAGCTTTTAGTTTATGCATGCAGGGGATGATGGGAAGTAAAGTATCATATTGCTGTTTATGCTGAAAAATTTCAATAAAAACTGCTGAAACAACTAAGATATTTCACTATTTACAAATATAAGCTGTCACTCTGTGTTTACACTGCCCCCGGTTTTATTTTTTCAGCATAATCAGTGATATGGTACCTTACTTCCCATCAACCCCTGCACGCATAAACTAAAAGCTGGAATTGCCTATTCCAACAAGTGTGATAGGGCATCAAATGGTGGTATACTGACTACTGACAGTTATCAAAATGAGAAAATGATTTATATGCTTTCCAAGATGTATTACCGGTTATTATTTATGGCAGGGGTGGGGGCCGAAGAGAAAATGGTGGGGTAACTGAAAAATAATACTTGCTTCAGGTGGGGTGGCCAATAACCTTACTTTAATCACACACAATACATACTATTATCAGATTCTAATTTTTTAATAAAATATTGCTTTCCAAAATGTTGACAGATGAAACACCTCCCTCAACCCACCCATAAAGGGTCATTTTTATATTCATTTACACACAAAATCTCCAAAGACTCCAATTACCAGACAACATATATACTTCCTATATATAGGGGCTGTTTATATGGTGCAACTGCAAGCCAACCACAGCTAGGGTACCGAAGTTGGCCAGTTTTGGCGAGATCCTGCCTTTGTTGTTATTTCTTACTTAAGTTCACCTTGTGTATATATGGATAAAAAACGTGCCCAGCTATAGCTAAGCGAGATCCCGCCTCTTTAGCCCGAGATCTTGCCTCAAGAAAAGTGACCTGAAGTCTGTACCCCCTAACCCCGGGCATCCAGCCTCGCCCCCTTATAAACATCCCCTTATTACATATCTCAAAAAGTATATGTACAGTCTATTAAATTTTCAGGATTTAACTTTTGGGCATCTACACTTGATACTGTATAACTACTATTTATATCCTGTATGTGCTTGTAAACCATGTGGACAATTCAGGTAGCAAATCATGAAATATGCCCCGTGTGAATCTGGAGAAGCATTCCAATGGCTAGTTCATAATATGTTCAGCTCAAACATTGTTCTTTGGCAACCAGCCTTTTTTCTTTACTAGCAGACGTATATATGTAGATGGATAAAATAAGAGAAATCCATTTACCCGTTTTACAGATTAATTTAATTGTTTATATAATCATACTTGGAATTCGGATGAATATCTTTAGATCTTCACGTTGTATAATTTTCTCGTTAATTTACAGTAACATCATTTTCTAAATTCAGATACTCTCACATGGGAGATATACTTTAGTATCGTTGTATTGTTTACAAATTAAAATATTAAATTGATTCATAAACTTCAAGAATTCCTTGGGAATTCTTAAGGAATTCCTTTAAAATTCCATGATAATACGTGTGATTGTCTATAGTAAGGAAATGTTAAAGGAATTTCAGAGGAAATTTTAGAATTTAGATAGTTGCAATCATGGGTGAACACATATTTTGTGAAACTGTTTCAAAATAAAATTGCATTTTAATTAATAAAGAAATGCATAATACAGTGAAACTTTAAAGTGGGAAAGAGATAGGGTGGTGAAATACGGCTAGTGTTCTAAAATATTGAAATATATGCTGTACAGGTTTTATATCAGTGCATGGTTAATATATGTTTATGGGACTAGTATTGCACTATCTTGTGAAACCTGAAAAGAGAATATAGCGTTGAATACAAACTATAAAAACCCATTCATGTTTCAATTTTACAAGTAGACAAATTTTAAGCCTTCAGATAACTATAATTCTTTATATAGTATCTTGCTATTGTAGGAGTAACCCATAATAAGGCATGACTGTTAGTGCGCTTTAATTACTCCACAAGAAATAATGGACAAGGGATATTTGTAAAAAAGTATTACCAATCAATCCTATTCCCTTTTAATTATATTGGCCACTGTGGTCAAATCACCCTATATTAATTATTATTTACTCTTTAACAGCAGATGATCTTACTCATCAAGGGCAATTTTGTACCTTTAGTTGATGAGTAATACACATACAAAATACTAAACTGTTTCATTACATATTTTATGTCTGAACCTTTGACATTGCAATAAAATTTGGGTGGGGTAAAAAAATTTTCTGGCATTCCACCGGTGGGGTAGCTAGAAATTTTGTTTTGAAAAAGGTGGGGTAATAATTTTATCCGGCTTCATTATACTTTCTCTTCGGCCCCCACCCCTACCATAAATAATGACCGGTCACTAATACTCAAATATTTGATAGCACTTAACAAAACTTTCCAATATTTTTAATATATTTTTAGCTGTGATTCTTCTATTACACATGTGGTTTAGTGAATGAACTGACAAAAAGCTACTTGTCATGCTAGGCATGGCATCATTGGAATAAGTCAATGAGACATTGTTAAACATTAAGTAACAAGAGTTTGTCATGCATTTGTAAATTCATTGAGCCTTAGACCACAATTAGCCATTTCCGAATTGACAATCCGCATAACATCTATGGATTGTTTGGAGGGACAACACAAAGTGGGAAGAAACTTTATGAGTTAAAATTGGTGCAAGAAAGTTTAAAAGATGCCTCATTATCTCTAAAAAAATTCCCTAAAAGTTGTTTACACTATTGGATGTATTTGTTCTGTGTCTTATGACTGGCGATGTCTATTGCACTGTCCCTCCAAACAATCCTCACATGCTTTGCAGTCTCAATTGGAAAATGGCTAATAATGCTCTGTGATTATTTACTACTTTGTCCAATATATGCTGGACATCATTTTCCTCATCAAAGGTAAACCTTTTCAACATAGTTGGTCAACCAGAGTGTATGCCAACACTTTCTGCTAAACTTTTAAAGGTTACCTATAGATCATGCAACACAGTTATTTCATTGTGACTACTTCACTCTGCTTTGTTTTCAAACCAGATGGAAAGCCTTGTAGGCCTTTTAGGCTTATAGGTTAATGTGTTAGCCTTTATGTGGCGACGGCATTCATATGGTTTGACCCTTTCCTCTATAGGAGAGGGTTCACTGCATGTATGCAAAATAATGCCATATAGTTTTTAGGGTATCAACTCTTTACATTCAGTAAGATTGAGTCACAAAAACTATAAAAATAATTGTCACAATGACAGCAGCACATTGCATGTGATAAAGAGTAAAGCAGGTACTGTACATTCCTTAACAATATATGATACAAAATTCATTTGGCCAATTTTACTGTATAAGTAGCTGATTATATGCATAGTAAAGAGGACTATAGAGATTTAAATTCCCACATAACAGTTATAAAATTCTAAACATATCCTCCCTCCTTTTCAATTTCTCAGCTGGTCATCATCTGGAATGGTAACCTCATAACCCTGGAAATGGCTATTAAAACAGATGGTATCTAGTGGCTGCATCACAAACTAGATTACTGCGAGATTTTT